TTTGCCTCTTAGGTATGAAATATTTAATATCAACTCGGGAATACAAACATATCACTCAAAACAATCTGGGTTTTGTATTAAATCATCTTTGTGAAAAGCTGTATTTCATTTAGAGAGAATATTTTAATGCATTTTATGAATGGATTTTGGCAGTATTTCATTTTTGTTTTAAGTTTTATTTCCATTTTCATCTCCCATAAGGATCCTAATTCCCCTTATCCTCTAGTAGTCACTCCCGAAACTAATCAAAATATTGTTCTTAAAAACCTTTTGTTATCGAAACATAAATCGATATCTTAAACAAATCAAAAATGCCAATCAATAAAAAGAACCAATGGAATAATTAATAAAGCAGGCATCACTAACGGCTTTTCGAGGAGGGGAAATATGAATATGAATTCGGGTATATGAGCTGGTATATGAGGTTCTGGTTGTTTAGATTATCCCAAAGTCAATATAATACATTTCCCCAAGAACTCGAGGCATGGGTTTCAAGGACAGATATAGAATGGAACCGACTACAGATTGGTATTTTTATCCCATACCACTCTGATGGCGACGATAAACACTGATGGCGAGCGGCGGAGATTCTGTAAGAGACAGAATCAAGATATTTCGAGATATTTGGATTATCTCGAGGCCAATATACACTTCTATAATGATAACATTATATCTGCCCGAAGGTCGTAGGTCCCGAGGGTAGACACATTATATTGGCCCAGGGATAATCCCAATATCCTTAACTGACTATAAGATGATCTGTTTATTCCCCCAACAATCTTGCTCAACTAGTTACATTGTTCAATTGGCCGAGTTCAGAAAAAATCAACCGTAGGATTTTTTTTAGAATAGTCATGTCAAGTTTTGTTTTCTTGACCGTAGTAGGATTTTCCTGTTCTTTCAATCAGATATTATCCACATTTACATTTTCGTATCTTTGATCATTTACAGGGAAGAGTACAGTATATTCCTTCCCTTGTTTCAATCAGCAAACAGATCGCGATCGTCTTCATTTTTCGCCATTCCACCAACATACGAACGGCGATTGTAACGTAGCGGGCAGATATCGGGGCAGATATAAAATACCCGCTCAGGCCGAGACGTTAAGCTATATCTGCCCGCTGACCGTGAACTGTGATTAAATTAAAACGGATGTTTGAGGTGTGTAAACGAGCCAGGATACGCAAATAACACATATGAAGCTACATTTTGATTAATCCGCAACACGAGACTGGACTCCGATTATAATATGTTGAATTTAATTCATTCGTTTTACTATCTACACATTCCCTTTTGACTTGAAAACAATGAAACAGTGCTTCCCTCTTTAAAATAATTAATCATTAAAAGCGTAGAAAACTTGAAATATAACTAGTCAATCCCCGGGAATCTGAGCCTCCTATATTTTAACATGGGAAAAGTGGAAAAAGGTCTCAAAAACACATTTCTAGGGACGCGCCTCTCATTTATTTTCGTTTTCTAAGATTTCTGATAACTAGGTATCTTCCAACTGTGACACTTTGCTTCTATCTTATAAGGCATTGCAATGATTGAATCACAAGTGAAGGGTCTAACCTTAAAAAATGAGTTCATGGCTTTGCTAAATATGTTCTTAAGAAAAAAGATTTTTTATTACACATGTTGTCTTTTGGTATATCAAAATCCACCTCATTTCTAAAAAAGTGTCAAAATTCCATGATGATAACTTATAGAATAAAAGAGTTGCAGCATTCTAAAAAGCTCTCCTTATCGGGGGTAGACCTTTAGTACTATTATAATTGATTTATTGGTTGATTGGTCTAGAAAGCAATGTTGGTAGGTGTGAGCTCAGTAATACTGTAAAGCAATATGACGTCATAAGATATATTATAATAGCATTGTTTTTTCTGAGAATTTGAATGACGTCACATTATGATTTCCCCTAATTGTTGTTATGTAAACAGATACACGAATCTCGACAGCGAATTGTGGAAATCGTATGATATTGGTGTTTTTCTCTGAACTCTGAAGTCAGATTTCTACCAAAGCCTGCCTAATTATGGGTGAGTATACTTTTAATCACTTAGTAAACTTCAAAGAATAATTTTTCAAGTAATAGATGCATTGCACAGTGGTATTTATTAAAAGTTTCATGCATGTTTTCAAAGTCACAATATTTTGATCTCACGACATGACGTCGTGATAATGAAATCTGATTCTATCATGAATTCTAAGAATCTGATTGACGTCACAATCAGATTCAACCATATTGTTGTTATAGTGGCATTGCTATTGTTATGTAGTATAAACAAATCACGGAAAAAAGAAGCCGATCGTAATAAAATAATTATATAAAAGCCATAAAAGACACAGAAAGACAAAAGAGGTTCTGTTATATGAAGCAGATCGTCATATCATTTGATCATGGGTGAGTTTTAAGTTTAAACTTCACTGGTCAGTATCACGTGAAGGTTACGGCCGTCACTTTCGCATAAAAGATGGCGGACGGGAAGTGTCGTTTCCGATATTTTTTAGTTTTCATCGAATGAAAATACTTTATAGTTGACGCAATGCTTTGCTATTTGAATTAATATAAACCAGGCTTATGTGACATGGCAACTCTGGAGTACATGGCAAATCCTGTGGAGCACCCAATTGTTTACACAGCTCATCAGCTAATTTTTTTTCTCTTCCAAGTTAGTTTCAAATAGAGGAAACTCCACTTATTATGAAATTGCCCCATACAATTCCATTGAAAAACATTGAAATTTTCGGATCAATTATGAAAAAACTAAGATTTCAGTTACTTAACCACATATACCACGAGTTGTTGCTCCATATGCCCCCCTTGAAACTTGAAATGTCTTTTGGAAAAAGAGCCGCCAAAGTCAAAAGATCTCACCGCATTTCCTATCTTTTCAGATCTATTTGAATTTTCAACAATTTTCAACAGATTTAAAACTCAAAACCACCGTCACAAAAAGTCAAATATTAGAAGTGAACCCCAAAATTTCGTCATACTTCAAGTTTTATGAAATTATACACATACGAGATAACAAATAAAATGTATATGTACAGTCTGTACATTTTCACTGGTTGCATTGATAAAACTTGATTTCCATCAACCATCATCTGCGACATCTTTGGAGTAATTGCATACTTCGTATCATTCATTTGTTTATTTTTAAGCACCAGCCGGGCGAGCTCACTGTTCCCAACCAATCTGTCTTGTTAGTTAGCATTGGCGAATTGTGACAGCTCAATAAAGATCACTAGTTTTTCGATTATTACCGTTAATCTTCATAGTTTTTCTATGAATGAATATCAACATTTACCTCTCTTTTATATCACTAACTAACTGTGGGTTATGCTCCTTAAGACCTTCCAATGGTTTGCCCAAGATGGGCCAAGATTTTACTATGATGCCTCTTTAAATTAATTTATCGCTATATTGGTTTAGTTCATACACATCACCATATAAGGCATTATGAAGACGTTCCCATTGCTTTGAGATTATACCCTGGGCCAATATTTCACTTTGTTGCCCTTTGAAATGAGGCATGCTATATCGGCTTCAGCTCTTGAATATCACTCATTGTTCTACATGAAGTTCATACATATCAACATTAATGCATTTACCACGTTTACATCTCTTTCATATCATTAACTTAATGTTACCAAATGCCTTTCATTGCTTTAAGGTCATATAGATCACTCGTTGTTTATATACGTTTCACTCCTCACTTTGCTTTGCTTTCCGTAGGTCACTTATTCTGACATCCTTTAGATCCCTCGTTACATTCAAGTCTTATACAATACAATATATTATATAATATACAATAAGTCTTATACAATATATCAAAGATAATCGTGTCTATTTAAATTACTTTGATGAATGGTCATTTTCATCATGCTAACAAATAAAATCAAATTAACTACATGAACTTTAAGGGTCTATCCTATTATACCTTTATACCACCATTTATTATGCCATATTCTTTGGATGTATAATATAAACGTGATTACACAGGGTGGTCCAAAATATCTTTTACACTTCTGATTGCGTAGCATTTTCTCGTGATAGGGATATTTCCCAAATTTGTTTCATAGACCTGTCCCGATCCCACAGACATGTAAGTTTTGTGCTGCGTAAGTTTTATTAGTATACACCACCATAGAGCCGTTTGCAATGTGCTCAATCCTAGTACACATTGTAATGTCCCTGTCCACATAATTCTCCTGATCTGTATTCAATATTCTTTATGTAATGTTGACTGATTGACAACAATTTAATGCGAAAATTATTTAGAAATATTTTATATAACTGTTTTTGTTAACATTTTTTTTTTAGTTCAATTGTTTTTGCTCCTTTCTACCAATTTTTGAGAATGAAATAAAATGTCTTTTCGAACCTTGTTGGAACAAAATAGCATATACAACATGTTTTTAGACCTCTCAATAATACAACGGAATTTTTGGTTGATTTGAAAAAAAGTTTTCAAAAAATTAAAACAAAATCCCCCAAAATAGATAAAAATCAAGATAAACCTTTTATTCATTAAAAAGATACTTTTTTAAAATCAACCAAAATTTCCTTTGCACAATTACAGTATTGAGAGACCTAAACATGTTGTGTTTATGTCGTTTTGTTCCAATGAGGTTCGGAAAGATGTTTCATTTCACTCTGGAAACATGATACCAAGAACAAGTGTTTGATGTGTTTTCTAAAACAATATAGATGAAAGTATATATATTTATTTCAAATTATATTGTTACCATTCAAAAAATGACCATTAAATTGACGATGTGTTAAATTTTTAGATTTTTTATGACTGGTTTTAGAGAAACGTGTGTTCAAAAAGTTCTCCATATCGATACCACTCCTTTGCAATTAACTCCAGCGATTCAACACCAAAGAGCTTGGATTGGGTCACAAACTATTGACCCCACGATATCTTTACAGTGATATATCAAAATTAAACTTATATCATACAAAACTTCCATGTCTGTATGACAGATCAATGAAACAATTCGGAGATCTTCCTGTCGTAAGACAATTCTACGTTGTCAAAAGTGTGAATGATATTTTTGGACCACCATGTAATACCAATATAATTTCAGGAAAGGAGTCTCAATCAAACAGGACCCTAGAAGAGGAGGTGACGAAAAGGTTACAGCCGTTTGTAGATGAAACTGAGAAACTCATAGCCGATCTCAGGAAGAAGTTGGCCAAGGATATCGAAATGGAGTGGATCAGTGAAGGTGCTAATGATGTTCTGAAAGCCCTTAGTGATGCAAGCTCTTTCAGAGAGCCCAACCCGTGCCATAAGAAGAAAGTACACTTTGGGGGAAAACATCGTGATAATTGGCTCGCAGAGAATATTGCTCCATCATTGATTGAAGACGAACGCCCACCTTGGCACTGCTCGACATCTCCTACTTCCATCCCGGACAATAGTTTTGAATTACCTGCAATAAGCAAAACCCAAATCACCGCTACACTCCAGCGAGGTAGACCAACAACAGCACGGCCATCACAGCCCCAAAGGCCAGGGAAAGCTAATGCCGCTCCCTCCCGTGCCATTCTGATGAAAGCTTCCGGGACAACATCACCTTTGGACAGCTCACCATCTCCCCCAGGCACCCTGGACAATAGTAGTGAACTGCCTGCAATAAACAAGAGCCAACTGACTGCTGCCCCCCAGCGAGCTAGACCAACAACAGCACGGCCATCAAAGTCCCAAAGGCCAGGGAAAGCTAATGCCGCTCCTTCCCGTGCCATTCTGATGAAAGCTTCCGGGACAACATCACCTTTTGACTGCTCACCATCTCCTCCTGGCACCCCGGATACAAGTTGTGAACTGCCTGCAATAAACAAGAGCCAACTGACTGCTGCCCCCCAGCGAGCTAGACCAACAACAGCACGGCCACCACAGCCCCAAAGGCCAGGGAAAGCTAATGCCGCTACCTCCCGTGCCATTCTGGTGAAAACTTCCAGAGCAACACCACCTTTGGACAGTTCACCATCTCCCCCTGGCACCCCGGATACAAGTTGTGAACTGCCTGCAATAAACAAGAGCCAGCTGACTGCTGCCCCCAAGCGAGGTAGACCAACAATAGCACGGCCAGTACAACGCCCAAGGCCAGCGAAAACTAATGCCACTCCCTCCTTTGGCATTCAAGATAAAGCTTCCGGGACAACATCACCTTTGGACTGCTCACCATCTCCCCCTGGCACCCTGGACAATAGTTGTGAACTGCCTGCAATAAACAAAAGCCAGTTGACTGCTGCTCCCCAGCGAGGTAGACCAAAAACAGCACGGCCACCACAGCGCCAAAGGCCAGCAAAAACTGATATCGCTCCCTCCTGTGGCATTCAAAAGAAACGCCTCATGTGCAACTGCTCGCCATCGACTCCTGGCTCTATGGGACATCCTTTGATAGACAACGACCAGTTTACTGCAACCATTCCGTGTAAAGAGCAAAGGCCGACAATATCACATCCTGCACAGCGCCAAAGGCCAGAGAAAAGTAATATCGCTCCCTCCTGTGCTACCGAAGAAAAACGCCCAATGTGCAACTGCACGCCATCGCCTCCTGGCTCCGCGGAACTTCTTTTGAAAAACAACGACCAGTTTACTGCAATCATCCAGCGTAAAGAGCCAAGGCCGACAATATCACATCATACACAGCGCCAAAAGCCAGTGAAAACTAATATCGCTCCCTCCTGTGCTATCCAAGAAAAACGCCCAATATGCAACTGCACGCCATCGCCTCCTGGCTCCGTGAGACTTCCTTTGATAGACAACGACCAGTTTACTGCAACCATCCCGCGTAAAGAGCAAAGGCCGACAATATCACATCCTGCACAGCGACGCAGATCAGTGCCAACCAATATTGCCATTGAAGACAACCAAATGTGCAACTGCACGCCATCACCTATTTGCCCTGCGGAACTCCCTTTAATAGGCAACAACCAGCAATTTACTGCAGCCATTCCAGGGAGAGAGCCCAGGCCGACAACATCACGCCCAACACAGCGCCGTAGATCAGGCCCAGCCAATATCGCCATTCAACAGAAACGTCCGATGTGCAACTGCACACCATCGCCTCCTGGCTCGGGGGAACTCCGTCCAATAAGCCAATCAAATGCAGCCACCCCGCCAAATGTGCCGAGACAGCGCTACATACAACAGTCACGACCATCTAGGCGTGCAGGCGGTCCAACCCCGGCTCCACCAGCCACCAGGAAGCCCTCTACTCAAATGCAAGGATCCACGGCAATACACAAACGCAAATTTAAGGAAAAGACCAACCAACAAAGCCTTGCTCAAAAATTGGAGGACAAAATGAAAAGGGCCGAAGAAAATCATAGACGGGAGATTGAAAAGAAAAGAGGAAGAGCGCAACACTCTCTGGATTGGGTGAGTAATAATTCATTATTTCACCAAACTCATGGTTTTATATGTATACTTTTCATTTTTCGAAATTTTTCATTTATATTGGGGTTTATTCCATAATACTACTGGTTTCCCAGGGGAATAAGAAGGAATAAAAATCGTATTGAATCGTATTACATGAAAAAATCGTATTGTCCCCGGGAATAAATCGTACTGGAGCGTATTACATGAAACAATCGTATTGTCCCTGGGAAAAATCGTTTTGGAACGACGTATCAACCTATTTTTGGTTTCCCGGTTATTTTTTAACCTTGGCTTATTGATAAAAGTACAGGTATTATCCAAATGTAACATTTTAGAGGAATGTATTATGGAATAAATAGGTCATTTCTGGTCGGGATTGAATATGGGTTTTATTCCTCGGAAAATATGATATCGACCTTGAGCAAAATGATATTGACACTCGGTCGCTGCGCTTCCTCGGTCAATATCATATTACCCTTCGGTCAATATCATATTGTCCCTCGGAATAAAACCCATATTCAATCCCTCCCATTAAATAACCTATATATATTCGTGAAAACTACTTTGCATTATTTTCCTAAATGGAATCGTCTTTTTATACTTTTAGACATTAAGAGTCATTGTTGTAATGAAACAAAAAAATGATGATTGCATCACTGAGATTTACTATTCCGAAGAGCCAGTTGTAATTGACCAATGAGAGAACGAGTATCACAGCATGGAAACAATAATACATAATATTAATCGAAAGATAATTAATTTTTGTTGTTATTATATTCCAGTGGGAGACTGGTCTAGCTAAAAACTTAGAGCTTCACGAGAATGATCCAGATGATACTTATGTTAGGGCACGTGCCAAAGCTAATGAAGTGGCAAAAAGAATTGCATAGATTGTTATTTACATCATTATCACAGTAATTCACGGATGAGATTCATTCCCAACTCTGCGAGGATGGTTCACTTTTTATTTTTTTATTTTTATAATTTGAAAATTTGGAGCATATACCGTAGGCCTATTTCTTTGTCATATTAAAAGGGGCTCAATTCCATTCTCATATTCCTAAATTACACCAAAACTGGAAAAACTTTCGTGACCCATATCAGGGTCACGAAAATTGAAAATAGCCCTCGAGACGGTGAATTAATTTCAGGAGGTGTGTGCACACATTTAACTTGTAACATCTCCGTAATGTATACCTACATTTACTAGCCTCGCATCTCCGACTCTATCGAGCTTTGGTGATTTAGAGTGAGAGTTTACTTCCGGTAATTGACCTTTTAGGTATTGATCTAATTTGGTGGTTTGGCGTGAGAGCTTACTGCCTGTATCGACCTTTTCTGTTGACTGTACGATCTTTGGTGGTTTGGCGTAACAGTTTACTACCGGCATCGACCTTTTCTGTTGACTGTATGACCTTTGATGATTTGGCGTGAGAGTTAACTGCTGGTAACGACCTTTTCTGTTGGCTGTACGACCTTTGTTGATTTGGCGTGTGAGTTAACTGCTGGTAACGACCTTTTCTGTGTTTCGACCTTTGGCGATTTGACGTAATAGTTTAATGCTGGTATCTACCTTTTCTGTTTGGGCATCAGTTTACTCTAAACGTGTTAATAATGTGCGCTGTATTGATGCAACCATGTAACCCGACGATGAGTTAACCCACGAGGGAATGACAGTTTACAATAAACACATGCGATTCTGGAGACACGCATATTTACTGACCTTTTTTCAGATAATAAAAACATTTTCCGAATAGCAAAATTTGGTTCTAGAGCAATTTCAGTAGTAACTTTAAGTTTAAAACAGATCTCGCTAAATAGAGCTCTCTGGTTTATGTCGAACGCAAGCATTTACATTAATAGGGGTATCGCTAAATAGAGACCCTGAAACATGTTATCTGCTTGTTACTAAACTACTTAAAGTTACACACTAGAGTTCTAGACCTCGTTAAATAGAGCTCTCTAGTTTCTGGTGACACTGTTTAATTGTCTCGACCAACTAATTTTGGCTTATCCTGGGAATATTTTAATTGTCTAAAGAAAGGTTTCAGCTTTATGGTGTAACAAATTGCATTTGTTCTATGTCTACTTTCATTCCCAAATGGGTTGTCTCACATAGGGTCACGTGGTATTTGCTGCTTTTTGTGAGTAGGTATGGCATTAACATCAGTCGACCGCTTGAATGAAAGGTTGCAGTACAGTTCATAAATCAACATGTGTAACATCTATTGAAAAGTCGTGAGTCAACTTAAACAACATGACCCTGTGAACTATAGGTCACTGTCACATCGCGTTTCTATCAATTACAATCTATTGATAAGGTCGAGGGTCAACTTAACAACATGACCCTGTGAACTATAGGTCACTGTCACATCGCGTTGCTATCAATTACAATCTATTGATAAGGTCGAGGGTCAACTTAACAACATGACCCGGTGAACTAAAGGTCAATGTCACATCGCGTTGCTATCAATTACAATCTATTGATAAGGTCGAGGGTCAATTTAAGAACATGACCCGGTGAACTAAAGGTCAATGTCACATCGCGTTGCTATCAATTTCCATCTATTGATAAGGTCGAGGGTCAACTTAACAACATGACCCTGTGAACTAGAGGTCACTGTCACATCGCGTTGCTATCAATTACCATCTATTGATAAGGTCGAGGGTCAACTTAACAACATGACCCGGTGAACTATAGGTCAATGTCACATCGCGTTGTTATCAATAACCATCTATTGATAAGGCCGAGGGTCAACTTAACAACATGACCCTGTGAACTAGAGGTCACTGTCACATCGCGTTGCTATCAATTACCATCTATTGATAAGGTCGAGGGTCAACTTAAACAACATGACCCGGTGAACTATAGGTCAATGTCACATCGTGTTGCTATCAATTACCATCTATTGATAAGGTCGAGGGTCAACTTAAACAACATGACCCGGTGAACTATAGGTCATTGTCACATCGTGTTGCTATCAATTACCATCTATTGATAAGGTCGAGGGTCAACTTCACAACATGACCCGTTGAACTATAGGTCAATGTCACATCGCGTTGTTATCAATAACCATCTATTGATAAGGTCGAGGGTCAACTTCACAACATGACCCGGTGAACTATAGGTCACAGTCATATCGCGTTGCTATCAATTACCATCTATTGATAAGGTCGAGGGTCAACTTTAACAACATGACCCGTTGAACTATAGGTCACTGTCACATTGCGTTGCTTTCAATTACCATCTATTGATAAGGTCGAGGGTCAACTTAACAACATGATCCTGTCAACTAGAGGTCACTGTCACATCGCGTTGCTACCAATTACCATCTTTTGATAAGGTTGAGGGTCAACTTAACAACATGACCCGGTGAACTATAGGTCTGAGTCGCCTAACGAAAGGGTCGAGGGTCAACTTTAACATCATGACCAGGTGAACTATAGGCCACGGTCATCTCACGCTGCTATCACTTAACATCTGTAACATCCATTGGAAAGGTCGAGGGTCAACTTCAATAACATGACCTGGTGAACTATAGGTCACTTTCACATCGCATTGCTATCAATTACCATCTATTGATAAGGTCGAGGGTCAACTTAACAACATGATCCTGTGAACTAGAGGTCACTGTCACATCGCGTTGCTATCAATTAACATCTGTAACATCTCTTGATGAGGTCGAGGGTCAACTTTAACAACATGACCAGGTGAACTATAGGTCACTGTCACATCGCGTTGCTATCAATTACCATCTATTGATAAGGTCGAGGGTCAACTTAACAACATGATCCTGTGAACTAGAGGTCACTGTCACATCGCGTTGCTATCAATTAACATCTGTAACATCTATTGATGAGGTCGAGGGTCAACTTTAACAACATGACCCTGTGAACTACAGGTCATATTCACCTCGTATTGCTATCAATTAACATGCGTGACATCTACTCAACTAGAGGTCACTGTCACATCGCGTTGCTATCAATTAACATCTGTAACATCTATTGATGAGGTCGAGGTCAACTTTAAAAACATGACCCGGTGAACAATAGGTCACAGTCACCTCGCATCATCAACCTGCGCAACATCTGTGTAAAGGTCGAGGGTCAACTTTAACAACATGACCCGGTGAACTATGGAACGCAGTCACCTCCCCTTGCTACAATTAACATCTAAAACATCTATTGAAAAGGTCGAGGGTCAACTAAACAACATGACCCGGTGAACTATAGGCCACAGTCATCTCGCGTTGCTATCAATTGCCATCTATTGATAGGGTCGAAGGTCAACTTTAACAGCATGACCAGCTGAACTATAGGTCACTGTCACATGGCGTTGCTATCAATTATCATCTTTTGAAAAGGTCGAGGGTCAACTTAACAACATGACCCGGTTAACTATTGGTCGCAGTCACATCACGTTGCTATCAGTTAACATCTATGATATCTATTAAAAAGGTCGAAGGTCAACTTTAACAACATGACCCGGTGAACTATAGGTTACTTCGAGTTGCTATCAGTTAACTTGTGTTGCATCTGCCCAGGGTCAACTGTAACATTATAGTGCATTTAATAACAAGTTATTGTCACATAGCCGTGTCATCTTTTTATCATGTGTTTAAACTTAAACTGATCAATTCCAATAACAAAATCTTGATCGTTTTTTTCATTTTTCCCAATATCCACCAAACAATTCGATTCAAAAACATTTTTAGGGCTTAATTATTCACAACTACTTAAACTATTTAGGCTGTCTTGACTCATTATTGCAGATACTGAGATTTTGAAATTGACTTTTACTATGAAGTTTTCAACGAACCATCCTCGCTGCAGATTTGGGAATGGATCATATTTAGGCATTTCATGAATCATGAATGAATTTTAGTCATTACAGTCAATAAGCATTTTTACAAGTGTATATGAATCCCCTCTGAAATCTTGTATTTTATAACTTGTAGAGCTTAAACTGATGAATTTCTGGATATTTTTTCTGGTAACTTAATCAAAATTCCTGAACACAAAAATCATGTATATCATATACGTGCATCTATTAGAAATCTCTTATATGCAAATTTTATTGGCCCATAATTGTGTATTGGCCCATGTTATGAACAATCATGTAGTCATGTAAAATTGATCTAATAGCATTATGAGTGTCAATGCATTTTTTTATTAGTGTACAAATACAAATGTTGTACAGAACTAAATTATAAAATATTGTATTGTACAATGCACAATATCCAAACAGTTTTCAAATACACTGGTCATACAATGCTCTAATTATAAGATAACGACATGCATTCAAAAACGAATCTCGAGATAACATGATTGTGTAGAGTCTAATGAACAGACCCAAAATGACTCAACGAGAAAAACACCTCGATCCATTCTTGCGTGTCAACGTTGGGCTGTGCAATAGACTGTGTTCTTCTATGTTAAAATTATGATTTAAACCATATATTATGAGTATTTACATCATTTTTAGTATTGTACACGATATTAATTTACAATTTGTTTATAATCGTTGAATCAAATAAAGATCTATTGAAATATATACAATTGGTATTTGTTTATTATTTTATTGTTTGGGATTGATTGCTTAACGAATTGAAGTATTCTTATAAATTCAATATAAGTAGTACTATAATATCAAAATAAAAGTATGGATATGTTTTGGCCCACTCTGTATATTTCTTTCAAACCCATATCACAATACAAACCAAATAAAAGAATGAATGATATAGTGTCCAGTTTATGTATATATTCCACATTTACGCACACTATACAATTTATAATACAATATATAATCATTGTCCAATCTTTGAGATGATTTCATCATACAAACCCCTGCGTCCTATACAGGGCGTATAAAAAAACGCAACAAGTAGTT